AGTTCTGTTCAATCATTTCCATCCACCCGCAGCCACGACTCCGGAGTCCGGAGCTATTTTCTAATCATCTTTAAAAACAACAGCCGAGAGGAACGGCCGTCCACTTAGAATAACTTAAAGGCTTGTTCTGTTCCTGGGCCAGGCGCTGTGCGCTCTCCTGTGACTGGCATGTTTACCAAACGCTGTAATGGCATCATTTTCTGCTAGGCTGCTCCCCTCAGCAAAGCAGAACTGTTTGTTTTATTTCAGAATGGCAAGAAGTTACACAAGAAAGTCAGACTGAAGCGGGACAGCAGGCATCTCTGGGTACACGGCAAAGTTTCCCAACCCAGATATTTTTAGGCACAAACCAGGAACATCGCATGATTTTCTGCAGGTTTGATCCGACCCGTCACCTGAAGTATGTCCTTCTGTTATCGCCTCATTGGAGTTTTATCAACTGGAGTAAATTCAGAAACTGTGTAAATTATTAAAACCTGAAAATCATATGATTTATGTTTGTTATTGTGTGTTTTTTTTTGGTGGATACAGAACTCAGGAAGGTAATTAAAACAAATCTGAAACAGGTGCGCAATAGTCGTTGGAGCAACATCCAATTCTGTGTTTATCGGTGGTGTTGTGATGGACCCTGTCCCCCCCGCCTCTCGCACGATGACGGCTGGAGACAGGCACCAGCTCCCCCACACACCTGAACAGAAAATCTGATCAAAGAAAATGGGTGGATGGACATTTACAGGTCAATCCACAGGAGAGACTCAACGGTGTCCTATGTGTTGCATGTCTGTGTTATTTGTAGTTCAAAAGATGAAACTGACATTTTTGCTGAATTACAACTGTCAGGAGTCAGGGGTTGGATTCAGAATCAGCCAGACAACAAGGATGCAAAACCAAGAATACACTTTTATTGTTTTGCAGCTGCTGGTGGGAGTTAGAATCCAGTTGCAGGAACACGTCTTCTCAGGCAGGTGGGGCGAGAGTAATCTGTTGGAGCTTGAAGAGATGATGTCACTGTAACCGGTGGGAAGGCAGCTGCAGAGGGAGGCCTTTAATGCTGTGGACAGCGGGGCAATGCAGGGTCTTGGTCCAAAGAGGTCAAGCACGGGAAGTCAGAGTTCCAAGAATAAATCCAATGAGCAGTCCGTAATCCAAAATCCGTAGAGCAAAAGAAGTAGTCTAAACCAAGGTCAGACGAGCAGACAAAATCAGGCGAGGAGCAGGCACAGCGGAATCCTAAAGACAAGGCGTGAATCATGAACAAGATGGCTGGATATCAGAACCAAGAATGGTATGATAATCTGGCAGAGAACTACTTCTTCTGTGAAGTTTAACGGCAGCTAACATCCATCTAGGTGTATTACCGCCATCTAACTAGCACTTATAACTTCTTAGATCCTCTTCAATAAAACCGTTACCCTCAGGAAATACATAAAATATTTGTGTCCATTTTTACTGGATCCTCATTCCAATACGCTCTTCAAACAAACAATACTTGTTACTTCAGTTGCCATTTATTCCAGCAGATGTTTCCTTTCAGCTGAATATTTACAACAGTCCAAAATAACACGTTTCACAGTTTCTGTACTCTGGCAAAAGTCACAACGACCATGATCATGTTTCCCTACAACTATAAGCAGGTATGACTTCATGAGATTCTTTATAAATAAAATTATTTCTATTAGGGAAAAAAATTCAAACCAACATTCCTAGTATCGCCTCTGGTTCCCTGTCAGATGAGGCAACTTTAAAAATGTCACTAGAACCTGATTTATGTTTGGACTGTTTTTGTCCTGTTGAGCTCTGAATTGTCAAAAATAATAGCTTAATCCAAACCATCCACATGTCTACCAGATCCAATCCCATCCAGACTGTTTAAAGAGGTATTTCCCTTAATTAATAAACACGTCTTTGATCTGCTTAATTTGTCTCTAATAAATGGTTACATACCACAGAGCTTTAAGATTTCTGTAATTAAACCTTTACTTAAGAAACATAACCTTGACTCAGGAATCCTAGCCAATTATTCAATTCAGTTCAAAAATACTTTATTAATCCCAAAGGGAAATTATTTGTTGTTGTAACTCGTTATCCTCATTCCATTAAGAGATGTTATAGATGCTGATTGCTGTAGGCAGGAAGGATATCTTGTAAAGGTCCATCCCACAGTGGATCCTAAGAAACTGGCTGCAGATGCCGTCCGATCCGTCCACCCAGACTCGACTGGCCTCTCGGTTCCCTCGGGTTGTAGAACCGCCCGAATGTCGGGCAGAACTCCTCCCAGAGCGATGGCCACTCCTCCCAGCAGTCTGCCGAGCTCCTTGTCGCTGCAGACAGCCAACTGTAGGTGCCGAGGGACGATCCTGTCCTTCCGCTGTCACGAGCCGTGTTTCCTGCTAGTTCCAGGAACTCAGTGGTCAGGCACTCGAGCACAGCTGGCAGGTAGATGAGAATGCGTCCACAGAACATCCTTTTCAACTCACTTGAGATTTGGGGCTGTAGTTGAGATATTATTTGAGCTTTTGAGATGTTAATCAGCTGCTGTTGGTTGTAGAAAACTGTCTTGTTGCCATGGTTACGCATCATAACAAATGTCCAAAACTAAAAAAAATTTCAGTAAAAATCCTTCCAGTTGCACAGCATCTGATACCAGAGGAAACGATCATCCCAAAAAATGTGATTTACATCCAGAAAAAGAGGAATTAAAGTTTCCAAAAGCAAAATCTCAGAATGAAAGAAACAGAGCTGCTCCAACATGCAGCCACCTTGAGCGGCGCAATTCTAGAACAATATATAGACCTATAGACCTACCTATCTACCTATCTATCTATCTATCTATCTATCTATCTATCTATCTATCTATCTA